CCATTCACACAGAATGCACTTTTGTGTTGACAAAGATGAGACGCGGGCAGTGGAATTGGTAAAACATGCAAGAAGATGGGAGTTAACTTCTTTTAACTTGAGCGCAGTGTTTTTAGAAAGCCGTTTCATGAGACGCGAGCGCAACAGTCAAACAGATCCATGTTTACACAGAAAAAACAATGGAAAAGCAGCGCAGTCGAATAAAAAACCTGTAAAGAACTACTACTGTATGTCTGATATTTCATGTTTGCATCACGGTGACAGGCTGAAAGCTGCTGCTGTTTTTGAAGAACATTTATAGTTAATAAAAGTCTACTGGTGTTATACCTTCAGTCATTTTCAAGAATCAGAATCAGAAAGAGCATTATTGCCAAGTATGCAAGGAATTTACATACAGGGAATCTGTTTTAGTGACATAAGCTTCCAGTACACAGAGACAACAACAACAACACACAGACAATAATAAAAAAATACAAATACACACAAATATGTAAATATAAATAGACAAATTTTGAAAAATAAATCGAAAAACAAATAAATTGTATGTACAGTTGTGCTATAGATGATAGAATGGAATAGAATAGAATGAGATGCAGGGATGTACTAGGGTGGAGGTGGTAACAAATAAATATACAGCAGTCCGAACCGTTCTCTGTAGTCTTCTGATGTCTGATTTTGTAGCTGAACCAAACCAGACAGTTATTGAAGTGCACAGAACAGACTCGATGACGGCTGAGTAGAACTGTTTCAGCAGCTCCTTGACTTTTGAGATTTTCTTTAAGAATTTTCCTCGCATTATTTCATATAACACATAATATGTATAAGACAAGTCTGTACAATATGTACTTGTAGTTTTTGCATCTTTTCTGCAAAGATATTTAACAAGTGATTTGTTTAACATTTACATCATGTTGACAGCTTCATGTGTGCTGCACTTGGAATAGATTTTTCTTTAACTAGAGGGTTAATAAAGAAAAAGTAACTTGAATCATGTTGTAGTTACATTTTCAAGTTGACTAGTTAAAAATCGTTAAAAAAAAATAGAGAATCGGTCAAACATTCTGGAAAAATCGAGATTTTAATTTTTTGCAAAATCGCCCAGCCCTACATGTAGCACATGTAACTATTATGTCATGGATTAGTTCCATTAAAATAAGATCAAAATGAATGTCTCCATGTGTTTAACAGGTAAGGTAAACTATGAAAAACAAAGAAGCATGCTCACTTCCCAGACTAAACGCTTTCTCAAATATTCCCCCATTGCAGTCGGACACAAAGTTAAAGTGAACAGAGGTAAGCAGGCCATCTACACTGAAAAATCATCTTCTGTAGTCAGTTTATTTTTAAAAGTGTACATTTTATTTTATTTATTTATTACAGGGACAATGCATATTAATAAACATTTCTGTCAATATGCCAGAATTAGCCAGAAGGCTATTTTTAATAAATAAAATTACATATTAACATAACAATAAAACAATTACAATACATTTAGTAAAAAGTACTATTAAGCTATGATGTACAATAGAAACGCAACAGAACCAAACACAGAAAAATCAGACAAATACATGAACACATACACACACACAAAGCAAAAAAACCAACAGGGGGCAGCGAGAGCAGGTCTAGTAGTAAGCTAATGTTGACAGCTCTGATTATCAATGAGCCATTTCTTTAATTGGATCTTAAATATACTATATATGTTTAGATTTCTAATATATATGGGGGTGAGGTTCCACTCAGTAGCAGCTCGAACAGAAAAGGCGGTTTGGCCAAATACACTTTTCCTAAAGGGAATGATACAATCTCCCCTCGCTGCACCGCTGCACATGAGAAGTACCTATAGTGCCTAGATATTTGGTTTCTTTTTTTATGTACACACACTGAGATCAATAAATCATTGATAAACCAACATTTAGGAATGGAATTGTTTTATGACTTAATAAATACAAAAATTTGTGTATTTAGAGCAAGTGGTTCTCAAACTGAGGCACATCACACCACTGTGGAAAACAACATTTGAAATGTGCTTTTATTTTACCATGCTCTATATCTCATTTCACATCTACAATTTTATTATAGCTTTGTGTGTCTAATCATTAGAAGGCATTGCCCACACTATTACACTGACTGTGAACGACACGAATAGACCGTTCACATGCTAGTAGCTATGTTTCCATCTAAAGATGCAAATTTAACTTATGCGCAAAACTGGAATATTGCATAAAACATTAGCGAATAAAGCACCGTTTCCATCCAACGAGTCAAAGAGAACAAAATCGTCACTTCCTGATAAACTGGCACTAAATATCTCTAAGAAAACTAGGAGAAGCCACTGAATTTAATAATTTTTTTATGTAATAAATTACTTGTGCCTCAGAGAGAGCAGACGTAACACAATAAATGCGGTCATTGCTTTTAGAGGCGGATGCTGCTGTTTGGGAACGCAGTCGTGTGAGACAGTAATTATACAGAAATACTTTGCTCAGGCGTTTCGGAACGACCAGAACAACATATAGC